TGGGGGGCGGGATAGGAGGGGGCAGTCCAGGGCTGCCACACCTTGACCCAGCCCTCCCAGGCAGCCAAGGGAGAGCTAGGGCTGTCTATCCCCAGAGACAGGGGGTTGGCGAGCGTAGCAAGCAGGGGCACTTCCCGGTATTATTCAATAAATGGCCTGTTTCACTTGTGGAAATAAAATACAGGGGTTAAGAAAGTTTTGTTGATGCCATTAGGCCAGTCACAGCTATCCAGCAGCATTTACCTGGTAGCCGCACTATTCATTTGCTGATAAACTCAGTGTTTAGCTCAAAGGTAACACTAATAAAGCTGACATTAGAAAAGTTAACTCATAAGAGCATAACAAGAGCACGGAACATAACATAAGAATGGCCGTACTGGGTCAGACCAAAGGTCCATCCAGCCCAGTAGCCTGTCTGCCGACAGTGGCCAATGCCAAATGCCCCAAAGGGAGGGAACAACAGGCAATCCTCATGATCCCTCTCCCATTTCCAGACAAACAGAGACCAAGGACACCATTTCTACCCATCCTGGCTAACAGATTCATGGAGGTTAGGTCCATCAGCTATCTAGGTTAGATTCTAGACTAGCGCTTTTTTGAACCCTGTTAAAATCCTGGTCTTCCCCACATCCTTTGGCAAGGAGTTCCAGAGGCTGAGTGAAGAAAAACTTCCTTCTGTTTGTTTAAAATCTGCTTCCTGTTAATTTCATTTGGTGACCCCTAATCTTATATTGTGGGAGTAAGTAAATAACTTTTCCTTATTCACTTTTTCCACACCAGTCGTGATTGTATAGACCTGTCATGATCATGAGAGATGGCAAGCAGCTTGGGGACTAAGGGTTAACTATACCTAAGTCTGCCAATAGGAATGTAGGTAGGAATTTCAAACTGGGACAAAGGAATTTTGGGGGTTTTCTTTGTCTCTGGGCAGTTTCTCTCCAGCTATTGAGGGGAACAGACACTATGTCTCTCCCCAAGAAGAGACTCTTCACAGTCTGTAAGTAGGATAAAGTTCAGATAAATCCGTTTGTTTTATGGTTTGGGAAATGGGATCTGATATCTGTGCATTTAAGAAAATGTTTTTTTGCTCTCCTTTGTAATTAAATTCTAGGCCCATAGAGCGGTTTCCTCCATGGAGTATATTAATTTGTGATTTTTCCATCTAGTCATTATGTTTGCAACAGGAAAACTGTGGTGATAAAAGTTCTCTTTTCTTTTTATTAACCTGGTACTGGTTAATTTGTGTGTCCAGGTTTTTACTTTAGGGGTGAGATTTCCCAAGTGATCGCTCCTTTGATTCCCTTATCATTACTTGGGTAGTGGCAGCAGATTGTATCTCCAAAATCTAGGTTTTTAAGATGGGGGTGGGGAGGGAGTTTTATACCAAAGCCTGGAAAGATAAGGTTTTGGGGTACTTTTGCAGGCCTCCACTTCTGCATTTAGCGTGCCAGAGTGAGGAAGAAGCCTTGACAAGACCTCTATCATATCCCCCCCCCCTTAGTCTCCTGTTTTCTAAGCTGAAAAGTGTCTTTTTAATCTCTCTTCATAGGAGATCCATTCCAAACCCCTAATTATTTTGTTGCTCTGTTCTGAACCTTTTCCAATGCCAAGGTATCGTTTTTGAGATGAGGTGACCACATCCGTACACTCTGCTCAGTAGAAACCTGATGCTATCAGTTGACGTTCTGGGATGCTCTGGTACTATGGAGATGGCGGGCGTGGACAGGCACCACATTTATAATCCTAGTCACTAAATTTGGCTAACGTTAATTTGAAGTAGTCTGGGAATGCTGGGGAAATTCCAAAACACTAAGGGAGAAACCTAATGCTATGCTAT